CCTGCTCGGCGGGGCCCGGAAGCGGGTGCTGGTACGTGTGGAGAGGATCACAGTGTTCAGCGTGGAGCAGGAGAACGCGCTGGAGCAGGCCACCGCCTACTATCTGGGGGGCGTGCCACCGGACCTACTGCCCCCGAGGTGAGGGCACGGCACTCGGTGGGCGTCCAGTGCCCTTTGTCGTGCCCTGACCCCACACTGCCGCCCTGACCCCCGCCTTGCCTCCAGACCAGCTCCCACCTTGACCTCCACCCAGACCCTCACGCTGACCCCCACCCTGACCCTCACCATGACCCCAGCCCTGGCCCTCACCCTGACCCTCACCTTGACCTGCATGCTGACCCCCACCTTGACCCTCACTGTGACCCCCACCCTGACTCCCATGCTGACCCCCCACCCTGACCCCCTCGACGCCCACCCCACCTCTTCCCTGACCCTCGCCCACCCACCAGCCTGTGGCGGCTCTTCCCCTCCGGAGGGTCCATCCGTGGCTGCGTCAAGGGCATCAAAGCCCTGGGCAAGTACGTGGACCTCAAGAGGCTGACCACTACCGGCGTCAGCGCCGGCTGCACAGCTGACCTCCTGGTGAGCCCGCCTGCCCTGTGCCAGCTGGGCCGTTCTGGGCAGGCTGTGCCCTTCTAGGCTGGCGGGGGAACTCAGCGGTCCCCTCCCTGCAGGTGGAACGGGTCATGACCTTCCATGGCCACGGCTTCCTGTCCCTGGAGCTCCCGAACGTGGCTCCCATCGCGGGCGACGTCTACTCTGGCTTCGGCTTCCGCAGCACCCAGGACAGCGGCCTGCTCTTCTACCGAGCCTCCCCGGTGCGCCTGCCCCGCCTTCTGACCACCGGCCCCTCCCGAGTCTGACCACCACCCCTCCCGAGTCTGACCGCCACCCCTCCCGAGTCTGCCCACCCCTCCTGAGTCTGCCCACCCCTCCCGAGTCTGACCCACCACCCCTCCCGAGTCTCACTACCACCTCCCAAGTGTGACCACCACCTCCCGAGTCTGCCCACCCCTCCTGAGTCTGACCACCACCACCTCCCGAGTCTGACCACCGCCTGCTGCAGCAGTGTGAGGGCAGGGGTGGCTGGCCCGCTGACCTGGCCACTGTCTTCAGGACGGGCCATGCCAGGTGTCCCTGCAGCAGGGCCACGTAACACTCCGGCTTCTGAGAACAGAAGTGAAAACTCGAGGAAGCTTCGCAGACGGTGCCCCCCATTACGTCGCTTTCTACAGCAACGCCACCGGGTGAGCACGGCCGCCTGGCCTCTCCCCGCCATCTCAGGTGGGTGGTGGCAGGGCTGGGTGGGGGTGGGGGCAGGGACTCACGGCCGCCTCACCCAGGGTCTGGCTGTATGTGGATGACGAGCTGCAGCAGATGAAGCCTCAGCGGGGCATGTCCCCCCGGCCCCAGCCGCAGCCAGAGGGGCTCCCGCAGCTCCTCCTGGGGGGCTTGCCTGAGTCCGGTGCTTTCCGCAACTTCAGCGGCTGCATCGGCAACGTCTTTGTGCAACGGTGAGCGGGGTGGGGGAGGCATGGAGTGGAGGCGGCAAGCCCGGTGGGCGTGGGGTTGGTGAGCCAGGTATGCACGG